TAGAAGAAGAAGAGAAAAGGAGAAGGATAGAAAAGAACATACCTGTATTGTCGAAGAAGATAGAAGTAGCTGGTCCTAGCTATTTTTGGTCGAAGAAGAAAAAGAATTAAAAAAAGTAGAAGAAGAGGAGAAGAAGAGAAGGAGATAAAAGAACATAGTTGTGTTATCGAAGAAGAAGACAAAAGCAGTAGTAGAAGTAATTGTAGAAGTGGCAGGTCTATTCAGATGAGCAGGGCTTGTTGTCGAGGAAGAAGAATTAAATGAAGAGAAATAGAGAAGAAGAAAATGGGCAAACTTGTTCTGTCGGGACTTCTTCAAGGAGAGAACTAGCAGCTTCAAGAAGTAGAAGACAAAGCAGCAACAAACTTGTTCTGATGAGCAGGGCTTTCTGTCAAAGAAGAAGAAGAAGATGAAGAAGAAGAAGAAAAATAGAGAAGAAGAAAAATAGAACAGAGAAGAAGAAGAGAATGGGGGTAAATCTATTTTGTCGGGACTTCTTCAGGAAGGAGAAAACTAGCAGCTTCAACTTCAGTTGTTCTACATATTGGGATAAGGGGCTATTGGGTGTATGGGCATCTCATAATTTTATTCCAATTGCTCCAATCCAACGGTTCAATTGTCTCAATCTAACAGTCCATAATAAAAATAAAACAACTTAAAAAAAATAATAAATGTGTCATTTTTCTCGTCTGTCGCTTAAGCAAAAGGCGCTCACTCTTCTCCTTTTTTTCTCGCTTCAGTCATCTTTGTTTCGCCTGGGGTGCTCAAGGCGAGAGAGTCTCGTTTCGCTTTGTTTCTCCCCTAGGTGATCTTTTCACAACATTGAACCAATGAATTTGCTCAAGAGTATGGCTTAGATTATGATGAGATTTTGTTCGTATTTCCTAGGTGACCATTGTAAGTACTGTGATTGCAATAATTTTCATTCGTCAATGGAATTTGTCTCAGCTAGATGGAAAAAATATTTTTCTATAGAGACTTGTGTGAAGAGGTTTTTATGACACCTCTTGAAATGTCTTATAGTTCTGGTCAAGTATGCAGACTTCATAAAGCTCTTAGGGCATGGTTTGCCAAGTTTTTATCAATCATTTGTGATTTGAGTTTTCATGCTAATGATCATGATTCTATGTTCCACTCAAGCTCTATTCTTATCTTATTTTATGTTGATGATATGATTATTACAAGTAAAAATATTGTTGTAATATAATTATTGAAAAATCAGGTACAAGATCATTTTGAGATGAAAGATTTAGGTCATTTTTGATGTTTCTTAGGGACTGAGGTTGTTTCCTCTCCCAAAGGTTATCAGTTCTCTTAGTCCAAGAATGCATTGGATGTTCTTGAGCGAGCTCGTTTATCAGATCATTAGACAATTGTGACATCCTTAAAGCTCAATGTTCGTTATTCTTCCTTAGATGGTACTCTCTTACCCAATTCTACCCTCTACTGCACTATTGTTGAGTCGGCTTTATCTTATAGTTGCTCGCCATATCTCACTCATATTGTTCATATTTTTAGTCAGTTGTTGCCTCACCTATCACTGTTCATTGGGTTGCTATTCTCCATATCTTTTGGTATCTTCGAGGTATGCTACATCTGAGTCTATTGTTTCTTTCCTCCTCTTCTATAGCACTCAGGGTTTATTGAGATGCTGACTGGATAGGTGATTGTATGGGTTGCAAGTCCACCACTGTTTTTTGTATTTTTCTTGATAATTCTCTTATATTCTAAAAAAGTAAGAAGTAAATACTTGTTGCTCTTTTTTCAGCTAAAGCTGCGTATCATGCTATGGTATCTACCACAATAGAGATGGTCTGGTTACGATGGTTACTTGTTGACTTGACATCTCTTTATTTGTTCCTCTTCCTATATATTGTGACAACACTAGTGCTATTCAGATTGTTCACAATTCGGTCTTCCATAAGGGTATAAAGTATATCTCTTTTCTTTTTCTTTATTCTACTATACAGTTAGCTGATTTCTTTATGAAATCTCATATCATAGCATGATTTTGTTTTCTTTTTGTCAAACTCTTAATATTCTCTGCTAGCACATCATGAGTTTGAAGGGAGTGTTAGAGTATTTTAGTATATTAGTATTAGGGGTAGATTATGCATTTTGTTTATCTTGTGTTGTCCTATTATATAAGGGCCTCTATTTTGTATCTTAGGTTAAGCTGTAACACAGATAAGCTGAGTTGCAATCATATTCTCTCTTTCCTTCTTTTATTTCACTTTTCTTTTAATTGTATTATCAATGTTTTATCGAGAACTGTTCAAAGCTTAACAGATCTCCACATTCCCACATCCACTTTAGAGTTCAACAAATAGTCATTTTTTTAGTGACAGATAGGGGTCCTAATCTCATGTTCTTTGGACTCATGACTACTAAAACTTGATATGTAGGCAGTTACCCATAAACCAAGCCAATCAAGTTAGATGAGCACTTTCTTGGTAGAGGAATTTTTGTTACTTCCTTTGCAGGTAGAACTCCACTAATGTTCTGACTAATTTACTCAAGGAAGCCTTGTTGCAAATATCTACGACAAGGTAGTAATATCTCATTCCTCATTTCACCTCTACATTAGATTGTATTTTCTTTTTCTCCAGTTACTAAATGTTCTTAATACTACTTGGTTTACCCAATTAATCACCGAACTTGATATATGCAGTAGTAATCTTTTTTCACATTAGGAGATCCCGAATAAAATGAAAGTCCACTTCAATGTGTTTGGTGCGCTCATGAAACACTAGATTTCTAACTTTGAAAATAGCTGCTTGATTATCATAATGCATCTGCATAGGAAAAGACACACTAATCCCTATATCACGAAGTAGTGTACACACCCACTAAATTTCACACATCGTGTGAGCCATAGTCCGATGTTTTGTCTCTGCAATTGAAAGTGCTACTTCATTTTGTTTCTTGCTAAGCTAAGTAACAAGATTACCACCAACAAATATGCAATAACTAGAAGGAGGTTGTCTATTAGTACGACTACTTGCCCTATAAGCATTAGAAAAGTCAACAATAGTCATAAATGGTGAAGACCGATATAATAATCCTTTTCTGAGTGCTCCTTTAAGATACCGAAGGATATGATAAGCAGCCTTTTAATGAGGCTTGCGAGGAGCGTGCATAAATTGACTAATTACTCCAATTGCAAATGTGATATCGGGACACATAATTGTGAGGTAGATCAGTTTACCAATCAATCTCCAATAGTGTCCTACGTTGTCAAAACAAACGAAGGAACATATCACATAGACCTTCAGCTATTATTGTGCACTCGTCGAGATCTGTCGGAAAGTGATGTCATGTTGATGTTAGCATAACGTTAGCACTTTCTGACGCGGACGATCCAGTGTATGGCTTGTTTTTTTGTTCTGAAGACCGTGGTATTTTTTGTTTTATTTTTTGAAGTCATCTAGTTAGAGTTTTCTAATTTTGAATGATTTTTGAGTTTTTTTAGATCTAAAGATTTGGGGTTTTTTCTTGCGATTGGAGGCTTTGATCCTTCACAGAGAGCTCCGACTAGATGAATAGAGGGTTGGTTTGACATATTCAGCCCCCTTGGAGTGTTGTTGATGCGTTTTTGGTATTTTTTGACCGACGGGTACTGTTCTTGTGGTCTTGCAACGACAAATTTGGGAGTTTTCTCTATTTCCAATGACAAATCTGGGAGTTTCCTCCGTGTCTTAGTTTGTTGTGATCCTCTTTGGTGTGTTTTTACTCCTTTTTCGGATCTATTGGCTGTCGGTTGTGTGTGTTGGCTGCTGGTTGTGAGCCTTCTGGCTTCTGCTTCTTCTTGTTGTGTTGGGCAGTTGAATCTGGTGGAACACCCACTGAACAGTGGTTGTTGGAGTTCCTCTTCTCTACATTTGTTGCTTGGATTTGGTTTTGTGGGTGCCGCTTTGGCCTTACTTGGATTTCTGAGAGTTACCCAACCCCCTCTTGGAGGGTTTATGTATGTTTTTTGTGCCTGTAGCAGTGTCGCCTAGGTTCTGAAGACGATGCACAGTACTGGGTACCGTTCCAGAGTGCATTTTTATTATTTTTTCTGGCTCCTATGTGTTCGGTTTGGACAGTCTGGTGATGATTTGTTGCTCTGGTGTGGTTTGCTGCCTCACCCCGGCATGGTTTGCATATTTGAAATTTTTTCTTTGGCTCTATTTGTGGTGCTCTGGGGTGATAGTGGTTGTTTGTGACATAGTTACCGTGGATTTCGTAATGGCAGACTTGAATTTTGGATGTGATGGTGATTGGGGCTGTAGATGTGATTATTGTGGTGGCATAGGACATACTGAATATAGGAGACCAACATATGCTGCTCAGCTCTGACACCAAGTAAAAAAGTAAATTTAAGATTAAAGTTTGAGAGGGAGAGAGAATGAAGACGATGGAAGAGAGATTGAGATAAATTATCCGTGTTTGAGCAGTGTTGCCCTACACTCTCTTATTTATATTGAACCCTATTTTGGATAATTACAATATTACCCTCCACAAATATAAAGCATAAAAATAAGAACTCCTAACACCATCAATACTCAGAAAACACACACAACATAACTTAATTGTAATACTCGCACAAAACTCCACGTGATGCTGTCCAATTCGCTGTAATACAAAAAAGGGGGACGTTCTCAAAGACTGTCAATTAATTCCAAAATGAAGCTAAAAAAATAAACCCGATCCCACAATCCACCCACCACTTCACTTTAATCTGCAAATATCCTGTAATTGCTCTCTAACCAAATAATTCAAATGGCTAGGAAAGCACATTGCTGAACTGTAAAACCCCTCCCATTTTCTGCCAAAGTTTTGAAGTCTAAGCAAAGCATAGATGAAATAGATTCTGTGGCCACCCAATAAAGCTATACCAACTCAAATATTTATTTTATAATGCTTATGTGTGATTGGACAATGTAAGAATAAATGGTCCACACTTTCACAATTTTAACATAACTCACCATTGCGGTCAAAAACTATTACAAGGTCTCCTCCTTTGGAACGCATCATTAGTATTGATCTTACCATGAGTAATTAACCATGGATAAACTTGCATTTTCAAATGCACTTTAGGTTTCCAAATCTTCAATGATGTGCACAAAGTGAGTGGAGGATCATCAATCAAGGTATCAAGGAAGGATCACGAGGATCATATTGAAAAGAAATAAACTGGCATAATCTTTGCCCAAAATTATTCAAGTTTATGTTTCTGAATTTGGGAACTGGGTTCCTTGGTAACAATAGAACTGCAGCCAGTAGTCTAGAACATTTGTTTTCTATTTTTCTTCTTATTTTGTATACTACCAGGTCAGTGCAGAGTTCTTACATTCCTTCGTTCAAAAACTTCCTCCATGGCTCTTATAAGTGAAATCAGCTCGCTAGGAAATGGATCAGTGGCAGCCACGTTTGCATTGATATTGTTTGGAGCCACTGCAATCTGTTTCATTCGCTAGCAAATTGCAAACCTACAAACTGGGCACTGTCCATGGTTCTTCACCCATGGCACGATGCAATCCTCGTGAAACATATGGTTGCATGGAGTGAGCATCACCAACTGCTTGGGCACAAAATCTTCTAAACAAATGGCACACCTTTTACCATCTTCATCCTTATCGTTTTCATTATTGGTAGGACTGTTTCTAGAATTCTCTCGATAATACAGCCACAGTTGCTTGCCCGCCTTTGGTGGTGGATTATAGATTTCTTTCTTTAGCCTCATCAAGGCTGTTTTCTGCTCATCACGGGTTAATCTTGACTGTTCCTCCTGTGTAGGGACTTGCATATTCCATTGGCCTATCAACCTTGGAGGGGACTCGAGCATGGACTGTCTGAGCCTTGGGTTGCTGTCTCTTGCCATATCATTGCCGAGGAACATAATAGGCACAAGGGAATGCAGTGGGACTGGAAAACTGCAAATTGCTCCATATTTGTTTGTCAGAATTATATGGTGAGTTCTTCATATGTTATGTTAACAGACAAACACAAGAACAAAAATCCAAGGATACTCTTGAAAACATGCTTTATGTAAATATTCCGTGCTTTGTAGTTTTTTAAGTCATTTTACAATCTTGTGTCACTCCATTTAGATCATAGTCATAGCAAGAATAGCTTTCCTGGCAAATATTTAGCTTAGTTGTGTAGCGAGTTTTATGAAGTATAATGCAGCCCAGTGCACGAAACTTCTGCCAATGCTGGTTTCGGGTTGGATAAAAATTACAGTCTTACCCTAATATGTGAAAAGTCTATTCTCATATGAAGTACATTCATTCAAAATGTAGCAATATGGAATGAAGGCATTTTAACTGTTGCAAAAACATAATGATATTAGAGCTTTTAGTTGGCGTTCTTTTTTTTTTTTTCGTAAGCTGAAATCATTTGCTACGTAGAAGTTCGTTATTACTAGATCCAGACAATGGAGGACATCTGGGATCTTGATCAATTGAAGTTTATCAGAATAAAAATACAGAGCCCTTTTTTTGGTTTTTCTTTTTTCTTTTATTGTTTATTTTTTATTATTATTATTATTATTTTTGGTGGGTTGGGGGGGGGGGGGGG